ATAATGATTAAGCAATGAAATACTCAAGGGTCTAAGTATAACCCACACTCAAGATGAATAGGCATCATTATGTATCTATAGAACTTTTTAACAGAGTACTTTGATCCTGCATTTAGAAAATGTAGATTTGAAGTCATATTCCTATTATGTTATGCCTTACAAGATGCTCATGTGTATGTGGGATTTTTTGTAAAGCCCAATTTCGTACAGAGCAATATAATCACATAGAAATATTCTGGAAATTACATCCAGAAAGGATAAGTAAAGACGATTGTGCTTGACGAGGTAATATATTTGGAATTACAAGAATGCAGTGATCAGCAAGCAAAAATCATTAGAAACAAAAGAGAAAAGATATCCATATTATATCAACATTAAATTCATACAAGGATCGTGATTGTGTCAAAAATGCAAAGAGATATCACACACTCATACATACTTGAGCTTTGCCATTGTGTTCTCCACCATAGCATGATTGAGTAGAATGCTAAAAGAATAGCAGTACCACCCATTACCACAGCTAAGCCAATTATGTCCCGGCCCAAAATTACAGTAAGCCAGCTTCCCCACATTATAAGCACCACAATTGGTGAGATAACAATCAGCCAAGCAGTAAGAGACATAAAACTACATAAAATTCCCAGCTGGGGACCTTGAAGCATTTCAGGCCATTTTCGGGCAAAGATCCTACTGCATAGGCAATTAAAATAAATAAATAAATAAATAAATAAGGGGATAAGGTTCTCTTTAAATAAGATGAGAGAGGAATAAAGATTTCATTTACATGTTGTTAGCACAATAATAATCTCAATTTGGCCGTCTCACTAATCTCCAATGAATATAGAACTTACAAACTTAGATATTACATATCTAAACAAATATTTATCCTTCAGGGAGATGTTTATATTTACACATCTTTTATTTTTATTCATTGTTGTATTTCTTAATGTATATAGTCATCAAACATTGGTAATATTGTCTTTTGATTTGGAAACTGTATGAAATCCCTATAAGCATGAATCTTGGTCATAGTGTGATGAACTTTTGGTTTGCTCTTGTGATGGGGCCCGTTCCCCAAACTCCCGCACAGCAGGATGCATTGTGCATCAGGCTGCCCTTTCTTAGAGTTAGACTGTTTGAGTATTCATGTCCTCAAATCCCAGTTTATCTCTTACTGCTAATGAAGTAATGAGTAATGGCCATTACGGCATAACCTAATAGCAAGTATCAAGGTGATAGTGGTGAACTTGCTGGATACCACTTTCCATGGTTGCTCATTTTGGAAAAATAAAAAAAATCAGGTCAGTGCTGCCTATTGTAGTTTTATGATGTTTCAATTAGAGAAGAGTAATTTTATTAGACTTAATTGGAATAAGATAATTTTTCTTCTTTAATTCAAAAAGGCACATTAAACTTCATTTACTTCCTAATCCTACCTTCTATGAAATTTTGAGTAGTAAATGCAGCAATGCAAGAAGGGTCAAACATGAGCAGCCTCTCTATTTTTAAAATGGTATGGTTGTGTATGTCTTGACCACCAGACGGAAAGGTAACTTGGCACACTGTAGTTTAATGATTAATGATTTTTTCCCAATTTCGTCCGCCACTTTCTTCTTTCTTCATTTCTTTCTCCCCAATTTCGTCCACTGGTCTGTCGTCTTCTCTCTTCCCTTTCTTCTTCTTCTTGTCTTCGTTTCTTTGTTTTTCTTCTCATTCTCGTTTCTTCTCTTTCTTCTTCTTCACCTCCGTATTCTTCTTCTTCTATGCCGTCTAGATCTGCGATGGTGAGGGTAAGGGCAATGGCGGCGATGACAAGGCTGAGGACGGCGGCGACGATGGGTGAATGAAGATGGCAGCGACGATGGTGGGGATGATGGCGGCGGCGGCGATGAGTCTAGATCTATATTTCTTCTCTTCTTGTTTTCTTCTTCTTCTCTCTCGTTCCTTCTCATCCATTGCTGAGACCGCAAGCGGTGGTGGGGTTGACGATGATTGTGAGGACTAGGGTGAAGGTGGGGCTGGCGGTGAAAGTGGTAGCCCTGTCTGATAGCCATCAAAATTACCATCTAGATACCAAGATACTTCACCTAAATCAGCATCTACAGGCAATGTAACTATATGCCACCTGCAAAGTAATTTATCTTCGGATCAGGAAAATAAGAATTCAACTCCTAGCCAAGATAAGAGTACAGGAGCAATCCAACACACCGATATATTCATAAAAAACTTGAGAGATTTGGTGTTACCAGCAGCAAGCTATAAGTACTGACATGGCGTTCAAGAAGCAACCCTACAAGTAAAAGAAAACACACCTTCCATCAGCAATGTTGCTCGCACCTACACTCCACTCCTTTGAGACTGTAGTTTGTCTATCGCCCTTGGTAATTAATCTAAGTCCAACTTGTCCAGCTTCAATGCCTTGCTCAGACCCAGCAACAAGAAACTCCCAGCAATAGAAACGCTAACTCTATTACTACAACAAACACTGAGATCCACGGGTCCACAATGTCTGCCGCTGCTAGTAGGCTCATCATCAAGAATACATACAGCGCCACTAAGTCCATTCTGCAACAAAAATGAAAATAAGAAGATAAATTTAACATATCAAATCAATATGCAGAAGAGAGCATCCCAAGAACTAAAGATGTGGCTTCATAAATATGGGACTGGAACATGTAACGAACATGTGGCTCACGAAATTTCTCCATGATCTAAAAAAATTCCAATCATATACCTTTTACCTTTCAACATTTTTCTTAAACACCATGAAAGTTAAATTAGTTAATGTTTTTTGGGACAGAGGGGGTATTACCATTGTTATCACATCGTCAAATTAATATGCACTAAAGGCAGAACAGGGCCATGAGACTGACATATTTTGATATTTGGTAACGATCGCTAGTGTCATACATGGAGACGTTTATTGATTAGAAACAACCAAAATGCAAAAACCAGTGTCCCTTGTGCCAACACATTAACTATAAAGTTTTTAACAAAGACGCATAGAAAGATGAGAAACTAAAGTGCATAAAGAGAGACAGAGCGACGGAGCATAGCAAAGCCTAGTTTTGCCATTGTTGACCCTCCACAGCTGCCAGACATAACCACCATTGTGAGACATCGCCACAACTACGGCCATACACCACTACAAATGTTTAGAAGTATATTTTCTTCCTTTCCTTTTTTTAACTCTGTTTTACTTCTTTCCTTTTCCTATTCTACTGCATATTTAATATTTTTTCAAGTTGCTAATGCATATTCAAGTTTTGATAGTTGCTGCTGCATGTTTGGCATTTTTCCGCCAACTGTGTTTCCTTTGCCTTCTTTTACTGCCAGCTGCCTTTTCTTTCAGTTTTCTTTAACATTGCATATCTAATATTTTGCTCGCTGCCAGTTGCTAGTTTTAATGCTAATATATTATTTTAGTTTTCTTCTCCTGCCTATTTTATATTTCTCTGCTACTCAATAGTCGCTACTGCCATTTCATTTGTATCATGTTACTGTTCTTAGTAATTAAACACGATTATTGCACTTATTGTTTCATTTCAGAAAAATAGATGCATGGTTTGTTATCTACTGATCTATTTTGTGTTGATTTTAGATATATGCATTGGGTGTATGAGGCTTGGTTTTATTTAATACTCCCTCCATCGCATAAGAATTGTATGTTCACTCTTCACAAGACCAAACCATATCTTCTTTCCCTATTCCCTACCTATTTTCATTAATCATTTGTTACAATAACATGGTCAATTCACATCTTGTTTTATTATTTAATTTAAACCAATATTTACATAAATTGAATTTAAAATAACTACACTAGAGTATCGTAACCCAAAACTAGACTACTATTATGGGACACAATACTTGGATATTTGAATTTTTGAAATACAAGAATACGATATGGAGTACTCCCTCCGTCCCTCAGTATTTGTCCAGTATTCCATTTTGGGTTGTCCCTGAGTATTTGTCCACTTTCCATATATGGAAAGGAAAATTAAATAAAAGGTCAATTATACCCTCACATCTCTAACTCTTAGGAAGATCCATTTAATTATACTCTCTCCTTCAGCCCTTCATCGTCCCTGATTCTCTTCTTCTTCCTCTCTAATTCCCCTTCCTCTTCCTCTCTCATCTATCATCTCCTTCATTTTCCCCTTTAGGCTTTATCTTCTTCTCCGATTCCTCAAAGCTTTATCTCTGACTCCTCTTCATCCTCCTCTATCATCTCCAATTTGCTTCATATTCCTCTATCATCTTCGATCCCCTTCATCTCTCTCACATCTTCCAAGTCAATTGTTG